CTATTAAGAACTATAATAAGTTTATACTGGGCACTGATACAGCACTGGGGTTTAGAGCAGGGAACATGGGAGGCAAGGTTATGTGGTTTATATTCTAGATCAACCCAGGTTAGGAAATTCAAGACAGGCAAATATTAAAAAAGTGATTGAGACAGTTTCTGATAGCAGTGAGTATATATAAATATTTCATCAAGGTGGATTAAGGGCAATTACAAGAGTTATTGGTGAAGGATTACTTTAAACTAGGTAATCAGATACTATCTCTCTGAGAGAACCAAGAGAAAAGGTAAGCTACTCCTTCTGTAAGTCAAAGAGCTCCAGGGCAGAGAGTTTATGGTAGAAACAAACTAGCTCCATCTGGAGAGCTGAAAAGCCACTAAGATCTGTGAATTGTAATGAAGAGGAAGGATGTTACCAGATGAGAACAGGGACATGATTGTGGTTGTGATACATTGGATTAGGTTTGCTAGATTTTCTGTGCCAGATATAGCAAATGAAAATGCAAGTCAACCATTAAACTGAATGTCAAATAAACAAATTATTTAAGCATAAGAATTCCCCTTAAAATGTTTCGGAAACTCAACTTTTTGTATTTCATATCTGTGTTTTAATATTCTGAAATTGGAATGCAACTGCATGCCTAGCATTTACTCTAGCAATCCTGATGTGGGAAGACATTGAAAGAGTAGGTTAAAGGAGGTTCATGACTTGATTTGTGCCATACATGCTTTGAGATGTAGAAAAATAAGTAAATAAAACAGGCTATGTAGCATATAGAATCATGAATGTATATATGTCTTGTTAAATTTCTAATTAATATTAATCTATGGAGATATCAATGTTAATTTGCAGATGTATAGAACAATATTAGAGATATATATGAAAAATATATATGAAGTAATACATTGAAAATGAAATTAAGACTGATTGGAGCAAAAAATGCATTCTAAGTGCACCAACTAAACAGAATTTAGGTAGAGACTAAGGACAATACATGGGACAAACACTTCACTGGGCACTCCAACATTTCAGGACAAAGCCTAAGTAGATTAAAGATAGGATACTTCTTCAAATTATTTTCCCATTTGAGTTATTACAGAATACTGAGATAAATTCCCTGTGCTATACAGTAGGCCCATGTTGGTTAAAAAGAATACATACATGTATATGTATAACTGAATCACTTTGTATACCTGAAACTAACACAACATTATTAATCAACTATATTCTAATATAAAATCAAAAGTTAATAAAAAGAGGATACTGAGAAGAAGCGGCTGCTGAGGCTAGAATGAACCAACGGTGTGTATACAGGGTAAAGCGAAATGTTGGAACATTTTAGAATTGAAAAGAGTAGCTGGTGGACCTAAATGTATTCAGAGGCTGAGTAAAATGATAATTTGACCTGTGGATTTGACAAGACTGAGGTCTTGAGGTCTTGATCTCTGCATCTCAGTAGAGTAGCTGAGGCCAAATACCAAAAAAGATGATTGAAAAGGTAAAGAAATATTAAAATGCTTCAGTGGAAATACACTTGTGATTTTTTTTTTATGAAGCGGAATATAACAATGGGGATTACTTAAAGGCTATGCAGAGTAAAATAAAGCTTGTTTTCTTTTTAATTTTGGAATATGCTTGAGAATTGAGTATATTCAAAATGACACATCAGAAAAGAATGGGCAAAAATCAGTGATGCTGTACAAAGCTCTTACTGCTATGATCAGTTCAGTTCAGTTCAGTCGCTCAGTCGTGTCCAACTTTTTGCGGCCCCATGAGCCACAACACTCCAGGCCTCCCTGTCCATCACCAACTCCCAGAGTTTACCAAAACTCATGTCCATTGAGTTGGTGATGCCATCTAGCCATCTCATCCTCTGTTGTCCCCTTCTCTTCCTGCCTTCAATCTTTCCCACCTTCAGGGTCTTTTCAAATGAGGCAGCTCTTCGCATCAGGTGGCCAAAATATCGGAGTTTCAGCTTCAACATCAGTCCTTCAAATGAACACCCAGGACTGATTTCCTTTAGGATGAACTAGTTGGATCTCCTTGCAGTCCAAGGGACCCAAGAGTCTTCTCCAACACCATAGTTCCAAAGCATCAATTCTTTAGCACTCAGCTTTCTTTATAGTCCAACTCACATTCATACGTGACCACTGGAAAAACCATAGCCTTGACTAGACAGACCTTTGTTGACAAAGTGATGTCTCTGCTTTTTAATATACTGTCTAAGTTGGTCATAACTTTCCTTCCAAGGAGTAAGCGTCTTTTAATTTCATGACTGCTGTCACCATCTGCAGTGATTTTGGAGCCCAGAAAAATAGTCAGCCACTGTTTCCCCACCTATTTGCCATGAAGTGATGGGACTGGATGCCATGACCTTAGTTTTCTGAATGTTGAGCTTTAAGACAACTTTTCCACTCTCCTCTTTCACTTTAATCAAGATACTCTTTAGTTCTTGTTCACTTTCTGCCATAAGGGTGGTGTCATCTGCATGTCTGAGGTTATTGATATTTCTCCAGGCAGTCTTGATTCCAGCTTGTGCTTCATCCAGCCCTGTGTTTCTCATGATGTACTCTGCATATAAGTTAAATAAGCAGGGTGACAATATACAGCTTTGACATACTCCTTTTCCTATTGGGAACCAGTCTGTTGTTCCATGTCCAGTTCTAACTGTTGCCTCCTGACCAGCATACAAGTTTCTCAACAGACAGGTCAGGTGGTCTGGTATTCCCATCTCTTTCAGAATTTTCCACAGTTTGTTGTGATCCACACAGTCAAAGGCTTTGGCATAGTCAATAAAGCAGGAATAGATGTTTTTCTGGAACTCTCTTCCTTTTTCAATGATCCAGTGAATGTTGGCAATTTGATCTCTGGCTCCTTTGCCTTTTCTAAAACCAGCTTGAACATCTGGATGTTCACAGTTCACTTATTATTAAAGCCTGGCTTGGAGAATTTTGAGCATTACTGAGATCAGAGACGACAATTTAGTTCTTCAAGAGAAAGAAATTCACTCCTGAAAGTAAATATCAGGATAAAAAACTTAGTAAATGTTGTAATTTGGAACTTATTTTGCACATACACACAAAATGTATTCTCATCCTTTTTAATCAAATACAAAAAACAAGTTAATTATAGGTTTTATTTTTATTTTTGATTAGTGAAATTCACACTTATCAAAATTAAGCAATGTTCTAAGACTTAAATATTCTTGAGGAACAATAATCATCATGTTGTTTCAATTAGTTTATACTAAAAACATTGTTTGATTGGCTCTGAACTATGAGAGCTGAACCTACTATTATTTCTGTATGAGCAATTTGTATATGATGTAGTGAAGAAGTCCTCTGCTTATAATATCTCAACCCAGTGATAGTGAACTGAATGTCACAATAGCATGTTTACTTTACAAAACTGCACTTAACAGGAAACACACATAGAAAGACATTCAAAAATACATAATGACTAAACAGATGAATGTGTTGGTCTGATCATTAGCAAGACAACATTTTTCTGTTTCATTAATATATGATTTTATTTTGACTTTTTTGAAATAGCTATGATGTTAAATGAATCAGGTGATTTGAAAAATCTGTATCCATACTCTAATACTCTCCAGAGAGAGTTGATTAAAATGTAGAGGATGTTTAACTTCTCAAACCACCTTCATTGCAATGCAAACCAGCCCCAAATTCCACTCTCTAAACCCTGTCTAAATCTAGATAAAGAGACATATAAAAATATTTTGAATAACAATTATCATAGAATATCAGAAATCCAAGTGGATGTATAAATAATGCTGCTTTCCCACATGCATTTTGCTAAAGATGCAGAAATACAGTTTTAAACTATACCACTCCTACTTTGGCTACCCAAAATGTTGAGTTGTCACACTGATTTGAATGAAGATAGGGGGCTTCCCAGGTGGCTTGGAGGTAGAAGAATACACCGGCCAATGCAGGAGACACAGAAGACATGGGTTCAACACCTGAATTGGGAAGAACCTCTGGAGTAGGAAATGACAACCTACTCCAGTATTCTTGCCTGAAAAATCCCATGGACAGAGGAGCCTATCAAGCTACAGTCCATGGGTTCACCAAGAGTTGAACACTACTGAGCACACACACTCACAGTTGGAATTCAAGAGTTATGCAAGAGAGCTCCTCATTCCAGGTTACAAAGCTTACTGATCAAATGTTTTGAGAAAGAAACAGCTTTTATCTAACTATCATTATTAGCACAAAACACGGTGCAAATCCTATTAAATACTTATTTAGCATATTAATTAATTACTGTATACACAATTAGGAAATATGGAAATTGGATTCCAGAGAATGACTTCTATTTTCACATCCTTCAGTGGAAGCTGAACATAAATGAAAGTTAGACTCATTGATATAAGTAAGAAAGTAGAAGACATTTTTGTTCAGAACTGATTGGCTTGAAATTTTATTTCAAGTAAGTTTATTAAAATCATTGTCAATATTATGTCATGAAAGACATAATACTGCTTAAATATATAAAGACAATAAATATCTGAAGAAAATAATTTTGATGAAGAAAGAAGAAAAATATACAAAATGATAGAAATACTACTCTTTGTGAAAGGTTATAAAATAATAAAATTATTTGAAAAGTCCTAGCAAAGCCTTATTTCTTGGTATAAAGGAAGGTTCTAGAAGCTTAAAATGAACACATATAATATTTTGGGGCAGGACTGTAGGTGTAAGTGTGTGTCTCCTCTCATCCAAACGCTTAATTAAATAAGAGGAATCCAAACTGGGATGTCAACACAGCAATCCTGCTGAATTTCCCTGTTGTTTCATGCTATGGTTGTGAGCAACAAACTAATTAGAGTGGTCATAAAGTTAGCCAATGGCATGAAGGTGTGGTGGGTCACACCCACACTGAGGGCGTATAAAAGGCCCTCTGCAGGGAGAACTCTCCAACACTCAAGTGACACTTCTACTCTCCTCCATCCGAAAACAACCTCAACAACCAACACCATGTGTGGCTACTACGGAAACTACTATGGCGGCCTGGGCTGTGGAAGCTATGGCTACGGAGGCCTGGGCTGTGGCTATGGCTCCTGCTATGGCTCTGGCTTCCGCAGGCTGGGCTGTGGCTATGGCTGTGGCTACAGCTATGGCCCCCGCTCTCTCTGTGGAAGTGGCTACGGCTATGGCACCCGCTCTCTCTCTAGCTGTGGCTATGGATGCAGCTCTGGCTATGGCTCTGGTTTTGGCTACTACTATTGAGGACACCACGGAAGACTCTCATCCTCTACACCCGGACACCAGGATTCACCAGCTCTGAAGCCCTCATGTTCTGTGCCTTTCCCCTGGGTGATGATTATCCCGCAGCAAGGAAGTTTAGTGTGAACTATTCCTAGCCTACCTTCTAACCTACATTCTCTGAATTTACATCATTAAGTGACATAAAGTGAAATCCACCTTGACCTCAGAGTTTCATCAAGACGGTGATACCATAGTAACTGACTTGATGCCTTCCATGTTGTCTTTGTTTTAACCTAATAAATGTGTTCGATGCAAACAGCAATTCTGGTTTTTAATGTCAGTTATTTGATATCCAATATTACTTACAGACACTTTTTGGCAGAATTCTATTCCTTGTGTTTGTACAGCTGAGGGGCTCAACATTGATTGTTGGTGGGAGGCCTTCACCACCTGGCTGTTGGAGGCCAGCCTTGGCTTCAGGAGGCTGGCTGTAGCTCCCTGCCATATGTGTTGTGTTTTATGCTTAGTCGCTCAGTCATGTCTGACTCTTTTTATGACCCCATGGACTGTAGCCCAACAGGCTCGTCTGTCCATGGGGATTCTCCAGGCAAGAATACTGGAGTGTGTTGCCATACCCTCCTCCAGGGGATCTTCTCAACCCAGGGATTGAACCCAGATCTCCTGCATTTCAGGCAGATTCTTCACTGTCTGAGCCACCTCCTTGCCATATTGGTTCCAAATATGGCTGTGTGCCTTCTCAAGGCTTGAAAAGGTGAGAAAGTTACTCTAGCAAGATCTGTTCTACAATGCCATACAATTTTATGTGTCAGAAACACACACACATGATCACACCCATTTTATTATGTTGTTTGTTATATTTCATTGTTAGAAGTAAATAACAAGTCCTGTCCATTCTCAAGAGGAGGGAATAACTAAGGCATTGACAGCAAAAGTACATTTGTAGGCAACTTTATCTATCTATCACTGATATCAATGGAAATTTCCTTAGTTTTCAGTGCTGTCAAACAATTTATAGAATATAAAGTTATTTTATCTCTGAAGATTTGGTAGAATTTCCCCCAAATAATTATCTGAATCTAGAATAATTTGTGTCAGTCAGTTCAGTCACTCAGTCATGTCCAACTCTTTGTGACCCCATGGACTGCAGCATGCCAGGCTCCCTGTCCATCTCCAACTCCCAGAGTTTACTCAAACTCATGTCCATCAAATTGGTGATACCATCCAACCATCTCATCCTCTGTAGTCCCCTTCTCCTCCTGCCTTCAATCTTTCCCAGCTTCAGAGTCTTTCCTAATGAGTCAGTTCTTTGCATCAGGTGGCCAAAGTATTGGAGTTTCAGCTTCAGCATCAGTCCTTCTAATGAATATTCAGGGATGATTTCATTTAGAATGGACTGCTTAGATCTCCTTGCAGTCCAAGTGACTTTCAAGAGTCTTCTCCAACACCACAGTTCAAAAGCATCAATTCTTCAGCTCTCAGTTTTCTTTATAGTCCAACTCTCACATCCATACATGACTACTGGGAAAACTAATGACTATATGGACCTTTGTTGCAAAGTAATGTTTCTGCTTTTTTAATATGCTATCTAGGTAGGTCATAATTTATGTAGTATTTACATAATGCTTATTTTTCATTTGTTTCTTCCATGATACTCAGTTTCTTTATAATTTCTGAATGTAATGGTGTCAAGTTTGGTATTTTGTATTCCCCTTGGAAATTATCCATTATATCTAAGTTTTCAAATTTGTATGCATAAAGATTCATGTCATTTTTAAAACTCCTTGTTTCATTCTTTTATTCTTATTTTGCATATGCTGTTTTCTTCATAGTGTTCAGTACTTTGAAACATTTTATAGTACACTTTTTTCATAGTGTTTAGTACTATGGATTTTTTTTAATTACTACTAGAAATTTTCTTGCAGATTCTGCTAGTTACTATTATCATTATCATTTTTTATTTTGAAATTCTATGATCTCAGATTATATTTCTCTTCTGCCTTAGAGTTTTTTAATCAACAATTTACTCTCCAAGTATAAATAGCACTGCAAATTTCTCTCTGCATAGCAGTCAGAAAATGTTTTCTGCAGTATTTTTACATTTAAAATGTACTAACTTTCTTTACAATCAATTTTTGGTATTTTCTGTGGAAGCTTGAGAAGAAGCTTTATTTTCTGTCATCAGTATATAGATGAATATACATCCATTGAAGCTACCTTGTTAATTAAATTTTTAGGTCTTCTTTCTTTTCAATCAGTTTTTTTTAAAACTATTTTATCTGTCTGTTCTGAGAGTGATAAGTTAAAGTTGTTCATCATTATTACTGTGAATCTCTCTGTCTCTATCTCTCCTTGATAGATAGCTAGACCAATATCTATGTATTTTTCTTAAAGATGGTTTCTGTTTTTAGCACATAAATAATATACTCAGATGTGTAATATATCTCTTGTTAGGTTATTGCTTTGGGGAAAAACACTGGAGTTGAAAATAAATCTCACTACGCTACTTACTACTCTGCCAAAAGACACACAGTACATGGACTGGTGGAGTTCTTTCTGTACTTTCAGGCAGCAATGGCAGGGACCAATGGAACCACCTGCCACACAACATAAACTAAACAGACCAAAATAACTTTGCAATAACTCTGAATGTTATGAATCATAGCTCACAACATCCATGTGCTAACCTGAACAGGATGAGTTCAAGTACATAATGTCAATGAGGAAAAGAACTAGCAATAATATAAACTTTAGAAGAAAGATGAGATCTTCCCAGAGGCATATTCAAGTACAAAATATAAAGAAAGAAGGAGGGCTTCCCTGGTGGCTCAGTGGTAAAGAATCTGTCTGCCAGTGCAAGAGAAATGGGTTCAATTCCCGGTCTGGGAGGAGCCCACGTGCCACGGAGCAGCTAGGCTCATGTGCCACAACTAGAGAGCCTGTGCTCTAGAGCCCGGGAACTACAACTACTAAGTCCATGTGCTTCAACTACTGCCCTGTAGACTGTGCTCCACGATAAGAGAAGCCACTGCAAAAAGACTAACGGAGACCGCCATGTTCACTATTATTACTGCAAATTTATCACTGCAGGGAAGACTAGCCACAACTAGAGAGTAGCCAGTGCAGTGACAAAGACCCAGCACAGTCAAAAATAAACACATAAAGTTATTTTAAAAAAGGAAAGAATGAGATACTAAAGAAATAACATGAAGTGGTAAGGAAAGAGATACTACTTTGCCAGTGTCTTTAACCAAAGTTTGGATGTTCCGAAGATGAAGTTTTAGGGTAATCAAGGTAGATAACAGTAGCCCCTGAATATGGTCACAAAAACTCATAGTAGAAAAGCACTGGTTGGATGTAGCTTTTTATCCACACATATATATTGTCAACTAAAAATAGTGAAAGCTCTCTCACAGACAACATGCAAACTCTCACACATACACACAATCACAGGAAATCCACATCAATAAATATGCATGAAAACATTGTAGGTGTGAAAAACAGAATACCTTTAATGGAAAATCAATTTAGATATTTTTTTAAATGGAAGTGGGATTTTACGGACAGAGAAGTCAGACAAGTACAATCCATGGGGTTGCAGAGTTAGACATGGCTGAGCAACCAACACACACACACAAACACAAGATTGTTTGTATTCAATCGTATAATAATGGGCTTCCCAGGTGGTGCTAGTGGTAAAGATGGCATCTGACAATGCAGAAGATATAAGAGACACTGGTTCAATCCCTGGATTGGGAAGATTTCCCCAGAGGAGGGCGTGACAACCCATTCCACTATCCTTGCCTGGAGAGAACTATGGATAGAGGAGCCTGGCCGGCTATAATCTATAGGATTGCAAAGAGTCAGATATGACTGAAGCAACTTAAGATGCATACACATAATAATAACATAGAACAAATGAATGTTTTTTAAATTATTGGAAACTGGCAATTCAATCAAAAAAAGTCTGATGTTACATGTTAGCTTAGATTTGGTTGTCATTGTTTTATAGACAAGAACATCCTTAGTATAATTAATGCTGGATGTATATATGATGCCTCTATTTATAATAGAATATCCTGAACAGATGAGCACCCTAGAATCTCTCAGAAGAATCCAGAAAACCAAGTATCTTCAATAGCATCATGGATGGTAGCAGGTGTATCCACAGCCACTGTGGTCACTTCCATAGCCATACCCCAGGCTGCCACGGCCACCATAGTAGTTGCTATAGAAGCTCATGATGTGAGGAGAAGAAGGCTTAATTGAAGAGAAGATTTAGTTTCAAAAGTTTGGTGCTTAAAATCTGTTACAATGGGCTTCCCAGGTGGCACTAGTGGTAAAGAAGCCACCTGCCAATGCCTGAAACATAAGAGAGGTGGGTTTGATCCCTGAGTGGGGAAGATATCCTAGAAGATACCCTAGGAGAGGGTACAGCAAACCAATACCAATTGAGTGGTATGTGAGGCAAACCACAGGCATTGTTGGACTCATATTTGAAACTAAATGGCATTGAGACTATCTCAAAGATTCCTCATGAGCAATATATTCAAGCCAAAACAACTCTGCTATGTGTCATGACACCTATCAGTAAATCAAATGCCTTAAATGAGAGATTCTTCTCCTAATTTAATGGTTTATTGATTCCAAATTGCAAATTTAAACTATGTTACTATTGGCATGTGATCATATAATCCATACAGATTCTATCTGTTGAAAATCTTATTTTAATAATACCTTCCATTCTACCTGCATATATGGAGTCTTGGGAATAAAATTGTGGCTTCAAAGTGGTAGGAGACTAGGGCAAGTTTGTGGAGAAGACATAGAGAAGACACTGCTCTGTCAGTAGCTCGTCCTGTCTGACTCTTTGCAACCCTATGGACTGCAGCCTGCCAGGCTCCTCTGTCTATGAAACTCTCCAGGCAAGGATACTGGAGTGGGAAGCCATTTTTCTCCAGGGGATCTTCCCAATCCAGGGATTAAACCTGGGCCTCCTGCATTTCAGGCAGATTCGTTACCATCTGAGCCACCAGGAAAGCCAATGGCAGGGTTTAATTCTAAATCCTTGAATACCTAATGTGTTCTATTAAATTTCTGAAGCAATATTATTCATTTAATTTATACTTACATATATCTGCATCTATCATTTTGTAAATGATCAAAAGTCATGGTAGAGTCCTTGACATTTAAATCCATTAACCACTGCCACCTATTAAATGTTGCTATCAAGATAATAATACCTTTCATGACTATTTTAATCAAACACTCCTCCCCCTCCAAGAAAAAAAGCAGCCAACTATAGCTTTTTTTTTTTTTTTTGAGTGAGGCAATTTAGTCATACCAATTTCAGGTGATGTTCTAAGAACTTTGATAGCCTAGAGGAAGAATGATCATTAGGCTATTTAAATTAGTTTTTTCCTGGAAACGTGTTTTAATTTATCACTTGATTGAGTCTGCATTGTAATATAGTTGATGCTACTTTTATTTCTCTATGGGAAATTTGAAAATTATATAGTGAAGATGTTTTGTAGGTCTAATATCTTCACCCAGCAAATGGTGAAAAAAAGTCATAACACTCTATTTTACAAAAATGACCCTACCAAACACACACATGGAAAGGACACTCAGAAGTGTATGTTTGTTTTCTGATTAGATGAATGTGTTTGATCAGATCTTTAGTATGAAAGCATTCTGTTTCACTAAAAAGCAATTTTTGACTCATCAGATATACTCAAGATAGATGTATTGGAAAGATTTTGAAATCTTATGGCTTCATTCTTGTGATTTCTAGAGGAGAACTGGCTGAAATTAAGGGCGTATTCAAAACCATGTATTCTCTCTCCCTTTCTACAGTTTTGAGAATATATGTAAAACTGTTTCTACTCAGAAATACCATTAGAAAAGTAAAAATCTACTGATAGATTTCACATGGATGGGTGGATAATGACACCTCCCATGTGCCTTCTTTAAGAGAAGGCACAAGTTACATTTTAACCGTGATGTAAAACTATTTACACTTTTCTGGTGCCAACCAATGAGGTGGATAATCACACTAACTTGAATTAAGACAGCAGTAATACTTGGGCTATACAAGAGAACTCAGTGTGACTGGTGACAAAGAGAATAATGATCAGATATCTTGATGAAGGAACAGACCTGTGTCTAATCCACCTGTGTCTAATCCAAATATATGTTGTTTAGCCTTTTTTATACTTACTTAGAATATAACTCAAATACTGATACAGAATCTAATCTGTTACTGATAAGAAAAAGTGGAGAAACTGGATTCCAAGGAATAAGTTAAGTTTGTAGTCCTTCAGTAAAAATTGAATGCAAGTGAGAATTAGGCTGATTGGTGTAAGTAGAAAAGCATAGTGCCATTTTGGTCTGACTTGGTTTTTTGCAGGTTTTAATTGGTTGGGTTAATATCAACATCCTGGGGTTGAAAGATACATTATGGTTTCAGTATAGAATGAGAACTGAGTATCTGAAGAAGATAATTAATTCGAATCAAGAGAAGAAAGATAAACACAAGAGTCAAAGGATTGTTATGCTTATGAAATGTTTAAAAAATCTGTGAAACTAGTTGGAACCAAGAGCAAATAAGACTAAGGTCTTACCGGTATAGTCATTTGTGACATAAAGGAAGGTTCGAGAAGGTTAAAGTGAACATATAATTTGGGGCAGGCAATGTAGGTGTCTCCTTTCATTCAAGACCTCAGTTGGATTAGAGGAGCCCAAACAGGCCAACAAAACAAGCTTCCTAAATTACTTTGAGGTTTTATCCTGTGGTTGAGCAAAAACAAACTAATTAGAGTGGTCATAAAGTTAGCCAATGGCATGAAGGTGTGGTGGGTCACACCCACACTGAGGGCGTATAAAAGGCCCTCTGCAGGGAGAACTCTCCACACTCAAGTGACACTTCTACTCTCCTTCTTTACCCGAGAACAACCTCAACAACCAACACCATGTGTGGCTACTACGGAAACTACTATGGCGGGCTCGGCTGTGGAAGCTACGGCTACGGAGGCCTGGGCTGTGGCTATGGCTCCTGCTATGGCTCTGGCTTCCGCAGGCTGGGCTGTGGCTATGGCTGTGGCTACGGCTACGGCGCCCGCTCTCTCTGTGGAAGTGGCTACGGCTATGGCGCCCGCTCTCTCTGTGGAAGTGGCTACGGCTATGGCTCCCGCTCTCTCTGTGGCTGTGGCTACGGATACGGCTCTGGCTATGGCTCTGGTTTTGGCTACTACTATTGAGGACGCCATGGAAGACTCTCACCTCTGCACCTGGATACCAGGATTCACCAGCGCTGAACCCCACGTATGCAGAACCTTGCTGAAGACGTGCCTTTTAATGCCCTCTACATATGATACACCCACGCTTCCCTTTATGCATTTAACTTTTAAGTAGATGAATTGAAATTCATCCTGAGAATTCCCATATGATCCCCTATTATAATGGTGGTCACAGATTCTGCCTTTATGTTTTCATGCTGAAGCCATTTCTCTCTTTTCCTAATAAACTTGTTTAATCTGGAAAAATAAACCTTGGTTTCTTTTCATTTAAAGTGTGATATTCACAGTTTTGGTTTTTCCCTGATTGAATTTTAAAAAATTGTCTTATTTAGGAATATCTTTTTTTTTTCTTTGTTTTTCTATTTCTACTTCAGTTGCTCTACCAAATCCTTCAGTTCTGACAACAATGTCAGTTTTGTAGGTGTCCGTTTTCAGTTCTGGTTAAGCAATCATTGCATATATTATATCACGTTATTACAATAAAGTAATATTTGCCAGTTTAGCTAAGCATTGCCTGGAAATACTATATATTCCAAGTACTTTTATACCAAAACTTTAATCTGTGTGAAGTTTTTTTGGAAGATGTGCTCATCGATGCAAAATTACTGCTTCTAATCTTTGATTCTAGCACACTTCCGCAAGAAGTATTTCTTATGCTTGTTCAGTTCAAGAAGTGAACAAAGTCAAATCTACCCTGGCCTGCTTGCTCCTAACTTTAACAAACCTTACTATATTTTCAAATTTTGTTTTTTTGAAGAAGACACCATTTCAGAAACTCATGACACATTTTTGTTTAGAGTTATTGCATAGCATTTCTATGTTATTATCTGTCCTGAATTATTTCTTTTCTTGGTTTTTGTGTGGCTTCACAGTTTTAATTGCAATTATTTGCCTTTCCAATAATTTTTGTGATTCATATGTTTGGGAACTTTTCAATTATCTTTTTTTTTTTGAAATGAGATTTCTAAATCCTAGACGTGAGTGAGTTCAACTGCTCTATTTAGTTTAAGATGAGGGACATGCCTCATTTCATGTTGACAAGGTTCACAGTTTGAAATTGTTGACCTCCCAAGAATGGAGTAAGATATCTGGGAAGATAAAATCCCTCAACAGAGCTTTTTTTTCCTCTTTAAGTATGAGAATTTGTCTTTCTTATTTACTTTATTCTTAAATTTTGGAATTTTTGTTTAATATTAAGTAACAATTAGATGATTTATATTCCTACATCTCAAGAAACAGTGGATTTTACAACTATTTGGCTTGGTTGGTAAAAATATTTTACCTGTAACTAAAATGATGGATGCATGCCATTATACATTTGTCAAAACCCATAGAATCATAACATAAAGAATGGACCATGATTTAAACCACAAACTTCAAGTGATATTAATGTGTCAGTGTAGGTTTAGTTCGCAACAAGAACACTACTATAGTGTCACATGTTGACAGAGGGGAAAGTGCTGTGTGTATGTAGAAACTGAATTCATGGGGATTCTCTGTCCCATCTGCTCAGTTTTGCTGTGAACTTAAAAGCACTCTAAAAATATTGTTTATTAATTAAGAGGAATGCTATGACACATAATGCACTCATTGTCTGACTAGAAAAGTAAACATCAGTTCCTCCTAAGAGATGAATAATTTCTGAGTTTTCAGAAATAACTGTTTATATTGGGAATACTGAGTTCTATGGCAGACAATATCTCCCACAATCATTTTAACCAATTATGAAATTATTTGCTGAATGATTACTTTGTTAACTAATATTTAGTCATATCCCCTTCTGGTCTATGAATTTATGCATTATGTAAGACTTATCTCTCAAAATTAAATGGCTTTCACATAATTTTAACAAGTGGTCTTTAAAATATAATCTTCAATTTTATGATAACCAATTGATGGAATCTAGGGATGATAATTTGAAGCAACTGACATTTTCTGTAGGGAAAAATTTTAATTATTTGATACCATTATGATTTTCTAACAGTTATTACCTACATGAAGGAAAGTCTTCAATATTAAGCATAATAAGGGGTCTAGTTTATAGATATACACTTATAAGTAAAAATAAAGAGAAAATACATTAAAAATGCATGGTAAATGAATAAATAATTGCATTTGATCTGATTGTTTTAGAAAAATATTGTTATATTATGTTAAAAGTCTATTTTTATATTAATTTAAATTACTTACCAAAGCAGATAAGTTGAATGAATTACAAAACTATTGTGTTCTGAATTCCAGAGGAAGGTTAGCTGAAATGCAGGTAGTTTCCTGTCCTGAAATCTCTTCATTGTTGCATAATCAATTCCTCTATGCTTGTAAATCATATGAAGAAATTTATAATGACCAGATTATGAATGAAATGTCAACACCTTGGTCATTGATTACAGATGTGTCCATAATCACACATTAGTCCTGCATCCTCCCAAAGACATCATATCTTATTGTTTTTGGACAATAACAAGATTCTCTTGACTTTGCTGTGCCTCCTAGTAGCCTGAATTATCATAGTGAAAAAAAATGACATAAAATGATGTTTCAATGATTATTTAAGAGAGTTCCATGGATTTGATAAAAATAGATTACCTATTTAATGTTGTGTGTCTTTACAAATGAACTTATCTTCGTCTAAGACATTGATAAAATCAAATATCTGAAGAAAAAATTCAGTTAATCAGAGTATTAGCTGATTATTGTGTATCTCCAAATTTGACCAAATCTCTCTGTTGACTAGAAAGAGATTACCAAAAAAAAAGAAAAAGTCTTGCCTTATGAAACACAGACATTTCATATACTAAAGCTTACAAGCACACAATTGACGGTAGTTTATATATGTCTTAAAAGTTTAAAAAATGTATATATTGAAAATGACAGTTGAAAGAAGTTTCAGTAAAATGGGATCCATTACAGTATTACCATTCTTTCAGGTGGTAGGGTCTGAACAGAAATTGGAATTCATAGGAAAAACCATATTTAGTGATATGAAGAAGAATTAGGCATATAAAAATAAAACAATAGTTTGTTAATGTAAAAATCCAAAAGATACTGTTGGCTCAACATTTTTATAGAAAAATTTAAAAAGCTGGCTCTTTCTTAATTGCATCACAGATATGAGTGACAGTTGGGATTTTCTATGCTGTATACTTTCAGAGAAGAAACAACTAAAGTCCTAAAAAGGAAAAATTGTTTTGAAGCAAATTAGAAATAAAACTCATTGGTTAAAAATGAATACTTTTGGTTATAGAAAGATAAGGAGAAGAATATAGATTTTATTTTGTGCCAAGAGAGAGTCAAAATTGGCATCCTGCAAATGCTACTTCTTAAAATGATGCATGTTTATTGATGTTAAAAAAAGACATAGTGTAATGAAGGAATTTATATGTACAACCATCTCCTCTATTATTGGCACTGAATTGTTTCAGAAGAGTCCCAAGTAGCTGAATAAAACAAGCTTCCTTAGTACCTCTGAGGCTTTATCTTATGGTTGAGAAACATAAAACTAGTTAGATTAGTCATAAAGTAAGCCAATGGCATGATACGTGTGGTGGTTCCCACCCAACTTGATGGCATATAAAAGGCCTTCTGCAGGGATGTTGTTTAGACTGAAAGGACACTTCCACATCCTTCTCTACTTCAGGGCAATCTTAACAACCAACACCATGTGTGTCTACTATAGAAACTGCTCTGGGGGCCTAATCTGTGGCTATGGCTCCCACTCTCTCTGTGGTATGGCTATTGATGTCCCAGCTACTTTTACTGAGGACACCACAGGATGTTTTTATCTCAGACGCATATAATGTCATGATTCACCAGACATGAATCTCACATCCTGTGTCTACACTGTGGGGTGCTGTTGTGCTCAGTCGTGTCCAACTCTTTGCAACCCCATGAACTATACCCACCAGGCTCCTCCTCAATGGGGTTTCCTAGTCAAGAATACTGGAGTGGGTTACCATTACCTTCTCCAGGGGATCTCCCTGACCCAAGGATCCAACTCACATCTCTTGCATCTCCTGCCTTGATAGGCAGATTCTTTACTACTGAGCCACCTGATCATAAATCAATTCATATTTTGCAAGAATACAAATAAAAGTGAGCCTTAAATGTATTGGGATGGTGAGTTTTTGAGAGGAGGCAAATGAAAAATGGATATGGAAATAAAAGGATACTTTTAAAAAAGTATTATTTTAAATACTTATCATTTTAAATTATTTAAATTATTATTTTAAGTTATTATTTAAATAATAATTGTTTAACTGTTTTAAATTATTATTATTATTGAAAAACACAAGATAAGACATTGATCAGTGAATATCTTGTACCAAGAACTGTGTCATTAATTCAATCTTTTGTGCCTGAAAAAGTGAAAATGAAAGTCATTCAGTCATGTCCAACTCTTTGGGATCCCATGAACTATACAGTCCATGAAATTCCCCAGGACAGAATACTAGAGTTGGTAGCCTTTCCCTTCTCCAGAGGATCTTCCCAACCCAGGTATTGAACCCAGGTCTCCAGCATTGCAGGCAGATTCTTTACCAGCTGGGCCACAGTACCTGAGGCCCTCATATATTGACAAAAGTAATGATGGGATGAAGGGAGGAGATGGCATTCCTGGAGCTCAGGGCTCTAAGGTTTCCCTCTAGAAGCTGGAAGCAAAGTGGGCCTGCAAGTAGGAGCTGGAGGCAGAGAGAGTGAAGAAACATCCTGGCTTTCTCCTGCCTTCCAATTTCTCACCTCAGATGGGCTACATCCAGTCAGAAGGCAGTGAATATGGGAGCTTGAAAACAAAAGCCCACTTGCTGGGGTCCAGCCCCAGCAGGATCAAGGGGTACCCTCAGGATGAACGGCGTCGGCGAGGGAGAGAGAGAGAAAGAGAGAGAAAAAGAGAGAGAGAGGGAGAAAGAGAGAAAGACCAGACTGGGGGTGTCCAGCAGAGTCTGGCAATGCTTTATTTTTTATCG